TCCAAAGTAGTTGGAAACAATTTGCTAATTACTTCGCTGAATTCAGAATACTGACAGAACAAAGTGCCAAACCCTAACTGAACAATTAAAGCTTAGCTGGAAAAAGTTATTCATTTGGTATCCTGTCCATGCTACTGCTAGCCCAGGAGCAATAATATACCCTTACCTCTACACAAAAAGGAAGTGGAATAAATTGCTAGACCCAGATGTGTATTTATCTGATGCAATGTGTCAAATTCTCAAATGCTTGAACAGTCAGTTTTTACAGTATGTACTACAAAAGTTGTGTTGCTAGAAAACCTCATGTGATGCAAAATCACGCAAATGAATGATAAGATTTTGGGGAAAGAATAGGGTTAGAAGCAGACAATCAAAAATAAAAATATTTTTGCAAATCAAAGCCTACCAATACAATAAAGAATCCCAATATAGTACTTACACAGTTGAGGGAAACATGTCTTCAGGATTTTCAGCTTTTTCTCTGAGGTCTTCACATATTGCTAATAAGTTCTCTTTTATCAAGCAAAATCTTAGCTCAGTATCCTCTTTCATCATCAATGCAAACTCTTAATAGATGTCCCATCTCCTCCTTTATGACTTGTCCTAGCAGACTTTGTAGCACTTGACTTGTTCTTTCTAAAAGGTTTGTGGGTATTTTCTCCGCATTTTTTCCAGCTGTCCACAACATCATCTCAGCAGCACACATGGTATGTATTACATGCTCTTTCAGTTTCTTTCAAAAACTTGAGAATCTAAAAATTTCTCCTCAGTTGATAAAGCAGTTTCTTTTCTTTCTCTACCTGAAGTTTTAACACCAGTATCATTACTTTCAATTATTTTACAATTTTAAGAAGAAACAGTAATAACACCAGGGCTATCCTCAGGAAGGGAATTTTAGAAAAGTCAAGATAATGACTACAATCATGTAGCCTCACCTTTTTTGATCTTGTCTCACAATGCAGATTAAAAAGAGGCCAGGGCTTTGATCACTGGTTTGTGGTCACCATCTTAATTTTTCTTTTAACCTCCATTATGGACATCCTTGAATAACATCAAAAAATGAGAAGAGAGGCACAATAGACGCTGACAAAATAGCACATCTGTAGCAAACTGAGTTGAGTGAGCAGTAAATAAAGCAGCAATCTTTAATGTTAAATTAGATGGTGCTTGGAGTGTTCACCTGCCACATCTAATTACTGCAAAATTGATTGTCAGGAAAATTATACATACACAAATATGCTTTCTATTTTACAGACATTGCCCTCCTATTTATTAATTGTGCATAGGTGAATTCATGTTGTATAAACACGTGTTATATGAAAACTGACTGTAATAGGATGAAGCCATTGCCATAATTCCTCTTGTATTAAAAAGCTCAGGGAGATGGCATAACTTTCCATCATCAAAATAATGAAGTAGGTAATTATAGACTACTATGTACTACAATCTAAATAAATTGCATAGTTCTTAAGCTATTGGAACTTATTGTGTAATATTGCCAACATTTCTAATCCCCTAGAGCCATGGTGGCGAACCTATGGCACACGTGCCACAGGTGGCACGCAGAGCCCTCTCTGTGGGCACGTGAACTGTGGTCCCAGTCCTAGGCTTTCAGCTGGGTTTTATAAAACATTTTTGCTTTAGGCCTCCGCCACCATGTGCAAAATAAAAAAAAGGGTTCAATCAATCACTTTCAATTTTTCATGGGGAAAAAAAAGATCTCGCAAAGTTGGAATTGATTGATTGAACTTTTTAGTCCCACCCAGTCTGCCATTACCTCTGAAGCCATGCCCACCCAATGGGCCGTGCCCACCCAATGGGCCACGCCCACCTGGAACCTGATGATACATAAGTGGATTTTGGGTTGCAGTTTGGGCACTCGGTCTCTAAAAGGTTCACCATCACTGCCCTAGAGTAATCAAAAATTTCTTCACCCCTCACTCCACCCAAAGGAAAAAAAGGGTAGAACAAAAGAAAGAAACCCAGACAGAACATTGCTCCTCCCAGTGGAAATCAAGGGGGAAACCAACAGGACACTGGTCAGTTTTACTTTTGACCTTCTCCTGAAAGGACATGCAATGGAATACTTGGGAAGGCTGAAGGTGAGGAACCAACAGAATAGGGGGACAAGAGTTTCTTCCTGTGGGGAAACGGACTGTGGCAAATGGGTTGACTGGTTGCAATTTGGGTTCACTGAAGCTCAGCTGGCAATAAAAATAACTCAGCTTGCAAAACCAACAAGTCACAGAAGCACAGGGGTCCAAAATTGCTTCTAAATTGGCACGGAATCACTAAATCCTTTCCTCACCTCAACTTAACCTCAGCACAGACAAGTCATGGCAACATCTATTTTGTGCTACCATATATTCCCCATGACATCACCTTCAATTTATCCCCAGCCCATGAGCAAGAAAGGTTTAAGTCATCCTTAGTTGTGCAGTATCAAAATCTTTCCTCTTTATTCTGACACTGTCTAATAACAGTCCCAAAGTCTGTTAGGCTTTTTTCCCCCTTGATGGAAAGTTAGATGACTACACAGAATAGGAAACAGAGGCAATAAAGGCAGGTTGTTGATCCTCTAAATTTCTCTTCCCTCTTTTTTCCCCCCCTCTCTTCTCTTTTTTCTTTCATAGATTTTTTGATTGCCAATTTCCTTATTTGTTATCTTTGTGTGTATAAGTAACAGGAATTATGTGAAATCATTTATTGGAGTGGATTGAGGAACAGGGAACTACTGCTGATAACCAGTAAGAATAGCAATGCAAATATTGCATCTCCTAGAGTAAATTCAAGCAAAGGGTACCCATTACCCTGGCAAAAATGAAAGAAAAATGAATGGAACTCTCATAGCTATGAGCCTTGGCTAATAATGAGTTCTACTGGATCAATCTGAATGCCTTCCATTTGAACAAAGTCATATATATTTTACTTAGGTCTCAAACCTTAACAATTCCTGTCATGGAAAACTCTGGAAATAACTTCATTTTATGACTTCCTAATTTAGTACCCAGACTCATTTTGTTATATAGAACATAGAAAGACTAGTGAGACAAGAGTTACCACCAATAGGAAACAGCCCACTCACAAGGACAACACAGCTTTGTTATTGCAATAGGATATCACTTTTTCTGTTTTGATTATACCAAGGATGAACCAGAAATCAGTCAACTCAGCTGCTGAACACAGATGATGGCATAAGGACACAGAGAGGTAGAAATGATTCTTGGGAGGTATGAAGGACGTGTGCCCTTGATATAGTATAGTGGCTGATATAAACAAAGAAATCTAGGGTTCCATTCTTAACTCTGGCCCTGAGGACAGAGTGGTCTTCAGAATGCTGCAATTTTCTCAGTTTCAGCATTCCTAATATAGGGATAACAGTACAGCTCTTATCTTATATGGCTGTTGATAAAGTATATGAAGCAAATTCTAATGCTAAAACTTTTACTGGTCCAGCTAGGCTAGTCTTCAAAATCAAGTTGTGGATATAATCAGTTGTTGTGGGGGATGGAGGGCCAGTTTCATGTGAATCAATTGCAGAATGGGATGGTTTTAGTTCTGGTCCTGGTCCTGCTTCATAGTGAGAAACAACGATCTTCAGTGTCTTGTGAGATGATATCATCCAAATGGTTTCCAGCTGCAACAACAGTGGTAGACAAAGGTGCAAGGGGAATTACACTGTGATGTTCATGTTTGCTTTTACAAATTTTAATGGTTTTAATAGTTCTCTAAATTTCATAGCTGGAAAAATCAAAAGTACAATAAATAAAATAATTTATACAGAAGTGCCACCTCCACTAAAGACTGTTCCCTTAAATCTTGAGCGAGGCAAGATGGAGACCCTCGTTGGCTGCCTTTTATATATGTTTTTCTATGTCAGGGGTCTTCAAACCTGGCCCTTTTATGACTTCGAAGCCCAGCAAAGCTGGCTGAGGAATTCTGGGAGTTGAAGTCCACAAGTCATAAAAGGGCCAGGTTTGAAGACCCCTGTTCTATGTTATTTGGCTAGATTGCCCATCTGGGTCAGCATTTATTATGTGATTTTTATTTTGTTTTGGAGTTAGGTTGCACCAAAATCAAATCAAATAAATAGACAAAGTGTATCTAGTGTATGCAACTTGAATTTTGTTTCTGATTTGGCTGTCCATAAATTCTTCAGATCTTAGGCTGCTACTTCCTTGCCTGTCCCAAGTCTATATAGAGGGATGCTCTTTGTCACTGTTTTAGGCCAGTAACAGAGATCCCGTGACTGCATCTCAGTAACTAATCCTAAGGCTCCTCATTCTTCCTTTGAGGTTCAAAGTTACACAAATGGAAAATACTATATAGCTCAGGGCCTACCTTTGGCCCAATACACTTTGTAATTAACTGGAAAACAGTGTATTGTAATGGCATGGGAATGACCTTGAGAGACAGGGTAAAAAGATTCTGTCAGATAAGAGGTAGCATAGCACACAGCTGCACAGTGGTCAGAGCAAGAGGGCAGGAGGGACCCTCTCTAAGTTGGGTCTGTAAAGGGGATGTTGGGAGAACTGTACTTTCAGACTTACAAGATTCTGCTAATGTAGCTTTACAATAAAGAAGAATTAGCTGATCTGTCTGTTTCTTATCTGGTCTACCTGGTAAGGCTGACAGCACTTAATCTGAAAAAGGCTTTTAATTAAAGGGAGTTTACCTTTAATGGGAAGATCTTTCAGCCAGAGATCCTTCACCACAGTCTGAATTTGGACAAATGAAATATTTTATTTGAAAAGCCTGGGATGATTTAGTGTTTTCAGGCCAGGACAAAGATAGACTTTCCTATCTTTGGTCTGGCCTAAAAACATTAAATCATCCCTGCTTTTTCAGTTGCCTTACATGATATGCTGAATCATGCTGACAGGAATGGGTTTGATTTTTCTGCTGCTGTAGAGATGGACAACAAGTTTTATTGTCTTGAAAGTAGTTTGAGAGTGTCATTGCTTCACCTTTTCACACTCATAATATTTTGTCTCAAACAGGCTATGTACACCTAATACACACATGAGTAGGTCTGTATAGAACACAAAGGACTGCTGATTGCATGTTAGATCTGCAGCCTCATCAGTCCCAATATATTTGGAGGATGGTAAGTGGAGGAAACTGTTCTATGTCATTAGCAAGAGAAATTCATTTTGAATTACTTTCAGTTCTCTGAAGGCTACTGTTGCTGTCCAATTTTGTGTAAAGGGACTTTCCAGAGAAATGAGATTGTGTAATTAGTGCCTAACCATGCTTATTGGCTATGCACAATTAACACCTTTTATACTTTTTATTCAGTCATATACTCCAAATAAATTTTAAATGTTATGCAGTGAAACTTAATTGCAGCTAAGTAGTACTTGCATTTTATTTTGGTATTCCTAGTTTATATTATTCAGACTGTTAACTTTAATCTCCTTTTGCTGTAGATGTGTAGCCTAAGCAAGCCTTTTAGCAAATTATGATTTAATATCATATTTTAGCCAAGAAATTTTATCTATATGTACTTTTCACAACTATCCTGATTTTGTCAATTTAGTTTTGGATGTTTGAATATCAGTTCTCTTGTGCTGCTTAATGACTGCAATAAAGTAATTTATATTTACGCAAATAAAGACTGATAAACTTTGGCTTCTACATTGGATCACCTGTTTACTCACATTCCAAACTGTTGATTAATCATATCCATGATTAATTGAAAAGGCTAGCTACTTAAACCTGGAATGCTGAAATCAATAGGCACCAAAGCCACCCTACATTTTGCACAGCCTAGTAAGTACCTCGTCCTCAAAGAGGATAGGTTAGGTGGTATATCTTGGGAGGAGAGTAAAGGATAAAAAGAATTACTGCAAAGCTTAAGGTAGCTAGTTTATTCTTCCAAACTGTGTAAACAGAAGTACTAAATTTCTGATCACACTCACTCAAATCACAAAATGTTAGCAGCTTGAATTTTTTGTACTCACGTTTTAAGCAATTATTTGACATGGGCTGATGTTAAGAGGATAATCCTGGAGAATGGGTGAAGTTCCAGTCCTGAGTCAGATTTGCATTTCTGCTTGTTCCATGATATAAGCTACCCATCACTTTTTGAAGGTAGAAATTAGGTGATGTTGTCCTCCAATTACTACCAGCCCATCACAAATACAACTCTGGTTGTGTTTTGAAGCTCCACTTCAAAATGGCTGTTTTGCATCCTAAGCATCTTAAGCACTGACTGGGGGAAGTGAAATTTGCTTAATGACTGTGTGATTTGCTCAATGATGGTGGTGATTCATTTAATGACAGTGGCAAAAAAAAGCATAAAATCAGTCATGACTCACTTGATGACTGCATTGCTTAGTGAAAGAAATTTTGGTCTCAACTGAGGCATAAATCAAGGACTTTGTCCTGTATATTTATATTTTTAATTCTTAATGATTTTTACAGTTTTTTAAAATTATTTTATTTTTACTGAATGCCACCCAGAGACACATATGCATAAGGATTAGTGGCTACATCAATTTGATAAATAGACAAATAAAATACAACCTTATAATTCTAAGAAAGAGCAATATACCTGTCATGACTTCAGTTACTTTTACATGAGTACCAGGTGCAGGATGTAAATGCAAAATTGTTAAATGTTCAGGGGAAAGGGCATCCTGTAAAGTGATGTATGGTTATACAAACAGGTTGTTCCTCATAAATTTATAACAACACATAGGTCTCTGTTAATTAACATACAGCTTTCCCAGAAATCTGAATGTGTGTTAAAGTTCTACTGCCATTTTATTGTGTTTAACAGTGCATTACCTTGTGTAACTCTTCTCGCAGAATACCGAGGAAGCAAGCTATGCAATGTTAAGAAAGATCGCAGTAGGGCTTTTTCAATGGGCCTATTTATTCTACAAGATTTGTGCAAGAGAATATCCCACTGGATTATGCCCTCAATATAGAATAATACTTCTAAGACAGAGTTGTGGAACAATGGGCCCTTTGTGGACTTCAATTCCCAGAACATGGCTGGCTCAGGAATTCTGGGAGTTGAAGTCCACAAGTCATAAAAGGGCTATTGTTCCACACCCCTTAATCTAGTCCTTACCACAGAATTTAACCAGTTTCTGTCAATTCACATGCCTGGATTAAAGGTTGCTGCTCCTCCTTCAGCAAGATCCCATCATGAGGTGTATAAAATGAATGTCACTTACAGCCTCTTTTCCAAGATAATTAGTAAGGTGTCCTCTTCTGGACCTAGTTCCAGATTTCAATGTAACATAAGTACAATCACACTTCTCTCTAGTCCAGGGGTAGGCAACCTTGGCTCTTTTATAACTTGTGGACTTCAGCTCCCAGAATTCCTGAGCCAGCATTTCTGGGAGTTGAAATCCATGAGTCATAAAAGAGCCAAGGTTGCCTACCCCTGCTCTAGTCTCTACCCAGCATCTGCCATCATGAATTTTCTTCCAAATTTACCTTCTGAGTTAAGAATTTTCCCTACTTCCACTCTTTAAAAATTCAACTGTTAAAATGTGTAGCCTAATTGCTTCTTCCAACTTTTCCTTCTTTTATTATTACCTTTCCCCCCTCCACAGCCACGCTTCCCCTCTGACACACACCCTGAAAAGAGAATGGCATTTATCACCCAATGAGGTCTAGCCAAAAACTAAACAATAGAGAACAGTTCCAAACACAGTCAATTTCAGTCTCTTTCGTAAATGCAGTCTGTCCATTTTAACTTGCAGCCCCAGATAAAGTGTTGTAGGAAGAATCCAGAGAAAAAAAATATTTTGGGAAATATTAAAAAGGCAGAATATATTTCTCCAAAGGAATAATGGAGAAGATCTTTAAAAAGCAGAAACTTCTCCCTTCAGAAGTTTCCCAGTCAGAAAACTCAGCAGAAACCAGCTTTTAGAAATGCAGATGTAATAATCCATTCAGGAAGGTTAGAGCCAGAAAGCTGGAGCTGATGGGATTAAAAAGACAAATATCCCTAGAATCAACAACTCCTCACCCAAAAAAATCCAACACAGGACATAGCCATCAGCCACAGCCCCAGGGAAAGAGCATATGACCTTTAGGACATAATAGGATTAACTCACTACCATCAGAATACCAGAAAGGCACACTCAGACTCAGGTCAAGGTACATGACACAGGGAATACAAAGCCTCAAACAGGAACAACTCCAAACACAAAAGCCCAGGAAGGTATAAAAATCTACCACTCCCAGCAACATGTGGTCAATTTTCCCAGAGCCATGCTTCTGTCTGGCTCTGCCTTTCAATAAACTACAACCTTCTTTCTAAAGCAGTCTCCATTTATTTATTCCCAGCTTGGACTGGACCCTGATGAAGAATTTTCGTTCAACAATTTGGCACCCCAGATGGGACTCCAAGCTAACCTGGTAGACTGAGTCTGGTAAGCCTCATCACTTTTAAACCACTTCTGCTTACTTGAATTTGTTCCCTGGTTGGTATACTGTGCTTCTTGATTTGATGCCAGACTTAAACTTGTTAGGACTAACCTGTCCTGTGGCAGCAAAAAGAGGGCAGTTAGTGCTTTGCTGCCCTCTGGTAGTCATCAAACATTTTGCAGTGCTAATCTGATAGATTTATTAATTCCAGAATTTTCTCATTCTGACGAATGCAAGTAGACACCTTTTACTAGATATTTACTGTATTCCTTCCTGCAATTTTGTGTTGGATCCAGATTATCTTGTCTTCACTTCTAATTATTACATATTTTTTCACTGTTTTGTAGAGAAAAATACCACTGAAGGAGAGAACAATTTCTGCAATTGACTTTTATTGATTGATTGAACTTATATCCTGCAGCAATCAAGTAAACAAGCATGCAACCAGTGGTGGGATTCAGCCGGTTCGCACCACTTCAGCAGAACTGGTAGCTAATTTTTTGTTGCCCAGACCCAGAATGGACCTCTGGAAGCAACATCCACACAGAGAATCGATTGTTCACATATTTGAATCCCACCACTGCATGCAACCCAATAATAATCAAAATTTCCATAGTAAAAACCAGCATGGATGACAAGAAAATAGAATTAAAAAAATAATTAAAATGGTTCAGTGCAATATATCGAGTATACCGTTCCAGAGACCATGCTAAACAATGATGTTGTTTCAAAAAAACCAATGTCATCTTGCCTTGGCTTCCTTCACCTCCTAGAAGTGTGAAATCAGTATCAGCCCTCCAAGATCTAATGAGGGGGGCTGATTCTGGTTGGAGCAGGCAGCCCCGCAGATGCCAAAATTCCAAGTCATAAAGCTTTTTTTTGTGAACAACAGAATCTTAAATTGTATGCATATCAGTAACCAGTGCAGAGTCAGAAAAATGGGTGTTATTTAGTGCCATTGCCAAAAGTTGGCAAGTACATACATTCTGGACCAGTTGCAGTTTCTGAAGAACCTTTAATGGGGTGGTTAAACTGGGTGGTGGTGACAACATGAATTACTCTAGCAAGCTTCTCTTGCACCAGATAGAGTCACACTTGGTGCATTAGCTAGGCAAATGCCTCGTTAGATATTCCTGTTCTAGCAGGAGCTATGAGTCTACAAGGACCTTCCATTGTGAATTTGCTCTTTAATGGGTAATAGCTGTCCATCCAGAGGCAACACTGATGTTGACAGAGGACCCAGATATAAATATAATAACTCTGTTTTACTTGGGTTCAGTTTCAGTCTGTTTTCTCCCATCCAGGCTCTTACAATAGTTGACTATTATTAGCATACAGACTCTCTGGCTAAAAACACCACTAAGGATACCATGGTCAACAATACTGAAGGCCACTGAGAGGTCCAAAAGGACAAGGAGGGGTACACTATTGACACTCATATTCTGAAACAGGCATCAAAAAAAGCAATTTCTTCTGTCTCTGTCTCAGCCTGAAATATGACTGAAAAAGGTCCAGATAATCGATTTCAAGTGGGATGTTGTGAAACTGGTTTGCTACTACTGTACTGCCAACAGTGTCTCAAGGAAAGTTGGAAACAGAATGATGTCCAACTCCCCTAGATTGCCTGTTTGGAAGGGGGCACACCACAATTCCTTCAAGGCTGTTGAAAATTTCCCCTCCTATAAGAAGGAATTTATAGTCTCCCAGGTGCAGGTGGTCACCTCTCTGCCTGCTCCTTGCATTATCCAGGATAGTCAAGGCTCTAAAAAGGAGATGGCAAATGACAATGTAGACCGCTTCTACCAAAGTCACAGACCCAAAGAAACCCCAGCCTTGTCCACATGAGGAATCAAGGCTTCAGCAAATTTGAGTGATTTTACCAGCAAAGTGCTAGGCAAACTGGTCAGATGGCAGATCTTCACGTTTTCCACAGTAGAAAGTTAGCCATTCTAAATAAGGCTGTTGGGTGTCAGTCCACTGGCACAGTAAAGGAGGAATACATTACCCTCTTGCTGCCACATTGTAGACTTGAATATAGACACAAACCATGCTCCATCCAATTCACTTGATTTCCTCCAAGTGTCATTGTGGATATTTCATTTTCAAGAGAGTTTTAGAAAACCATGGCATCAACTGGGCTAGGGAGACACTATTTAGAGGCAATGTTGTCCAGAGCCTGGCACACTTTCTGCAGCCAGTTGCACACTAGATAGTGGCCAGAACTTCTTGCCTAAGAGTTAGGAAATTTCAGCCACTCTGAGATGAGTACAAGATCCAAGATGTAACCACCAATATGAATCAGGCTCAAGATTACATGAACAAGGCCATGATGGTCATGGAGGAGATGAATTCCCAAGCTTGGCTCCCATGGTGGGCAGTTTGAAATCCCCAAGCACTAAAAGGCAGTGATTCTCCAACCCCTTGCTCAGAAACCAACTTTACAGCTCAGGAAGGGATTCCGATGGCTAGCAGGGAGGTTGGTACACCAGCAGGATCCCACTGGACTTTTGATTTATGCTATGATTGAAGATTATTTACAGTATTTAGAAGCACCTACATTTTCAGAATTGGAGATCACAATAATTGAAGAACACGGAGACATGTTTTAGGTGCAAATACATCTATTTTCTAGACAACTACACCCAATGAAGTGAAAATTTCCATAGCACTTTAATGCAGTCAACTGTTCATCAGATCCTAAGGCAGTATCTATATTTTTACTAAAATGTTTTTCAGAAGTTCAGAGAGTTTTTCTTGAAATGTAAAACTTGTTTTTCTTATCCATGTGATCAAAGCTGGAGGCTGTGAATTTGTCCTTTCTGCAATCTGTTATCCAGGGCACAATAAATAACATTGCATTATACCCAAATTACTTTCCATTGAATTATTATGCCATTAAAAATACAAGAACCTCTTTGCTGGATGTTCTCAAGGGTCATTTTTGGAATGGTAGCCAAACAGAAGTTTTCTGGAAAGTTTTCAGAGTACATTACTCCATAAAAGATCATTTCTGTTGGCTTGCCTTTATAGCCCAACACTCAGAAGTGTGGTACCTTTGTACACTTCATTCCATGTAGGCATCCAGATAATTTGTAGAGAAGAGATCATTTCCACAACAATTCAATTGCAAGGCACATTGTCTTTCACTCCTATGACTTTGTTTGAACCCACAGCACCAAGTAACTCACACCATTTCATTGTGAAAAAGTCTTGCAGGACACGTCAAGATCTGTAGCACCAAATCAGAATTTTGTATTTGGAAAGAAAAGAAAAGAAAAGAAAAGAAAAGAAAAGAAAAGAAAAGAAAAGAAAAGAAAAGAAAAGAAAAGAAAAGAAAAAAGGGTTCAGATAGACATCAGTGTAATATTTTTTAGGTTTGTCAGTCTCAGATAAACCTTAGCTAGTTGTACTTAAAATTCTCTGTAACTGAAATACGAGCATTTGCCCTGCCAGGAATTTTGCATTTAAATCCAAGTCTTTTAATCCACTTTTCTGAATCGTTATTTATACCTGATATCAGGCTGATTTGCTGCCTCCTGGAGGCTGGTAGATTAATTAATTCATTAATTATTTAGCTACACTTTGAAGATATGGATAACTGTATCATTAGCAACAAAGATAATTTAGTAAGCATAATAGTTTGCAATATTTTAAAAACCTAAGGAGATGGAAAAAGGAAATTTCACTGAAAGGTTCCATGCAACCCTAGCCCCAGAAATATTAATTCACCCTACACTAACACAGAGATCAGATTATTCAGATCCAGAGAGAGAGATGTACAATTGCACCACAGATAAAGTGCTCTTTCTCACAGGCAAGTTAAAGTGATATTCACTAGTCATCAAGTGAGCAGAAAACTATAATGGTATAAAATGTGCTGTTTCTATAGGAATCACTCTCCTACCATAGCTAGGATGACAGCAAATAGCGCTCTCCAGTGTATTTCTCAAGGTTTTCAATTTAACTTTAGTTAAATTTTATTATTTAGAGCACATTCCTGAATTTAAGCATTTGTCAAAACTCACACTCATTTTATGCATGTGTGTTGTGTATTCAAAAAGAGCTTATAGTTGAGCTGACGCTCAGATTAGTGTTATATCTCAAAGAAGCACTGGTTCAACAAGCCCTCCAATCCAAAAGAGTATTATTGGGCTCCTTTTGGATACAAACTTAATAGTATTCCAAAAAAGCATTTAATCTCATGTTCAAAAGCAACTCAGATGATGGCTGATAGTGCGGGGAACATGGGACAATGAAGCAGCAGAGATCTGTTTCTTGATCACTTCCCTTGGCAGATTTCTCTATCTCTGTCACCAATTGTGTCGGTGCTATTTATCGCTTTTCAAACCAACAAGCCCCAGAACAGTTCAGTGATGAGGAAAGCACAGCAGGAGAAACTAACTTGAAAAAAAAAAAAAACTCTCTCGCTGCCTAGAACTAAATGATACTGAAGACAATTAGTCAGTAGGACTGATCACACTCTCCCAGGTCACCTGACTGTTCCATCAACTGAATGGACAGTGAAACACATTGGGTTACATCCATGGGAAATGGATGTGTCTTATCGCTGGCAATCAAATTTTTATTACAGTCAAAGACCAGCATATACTAACCAGAAGTGGTGAATGCTCCAACACTGGAGATTTTTAAGAAGAGACTGGACAGCCATTTGTCCGATATGGTGTAGGGTTTCCTGTCTGAACAGGAGCTGGACTCAGTGACCTCCAAGGTCCCTTCCAACTTTTATTATTATTATTATTATTATTATTATTATTATTATTATTATTATTATTATTAGTAGTAGTAGTAGTAGTAGTAGTAGTAGTAGTAGTAGTACATCAGAAGTACTGGTCTAACAGTCTTACATCTTTCAGATGAAAACAGTTTACCAAAATGTAACTGAAGAGTAGGCATTGACTACAGATCTGGCTGCTATTATTAAATCATTCTATTCTCCATAATTTGGCAATAAAGAGAATGGATCACAGCCACTGACCTTTGATGTTCAGTATATTGAAAAGTTTTGCCTACTGATTTCTGCTATGCAAATTCCTGTTGAAGGCTTAAAAGCAGGTCAGCATCTTTAAACCCATCCATTGGCAATCTGTTTTCTAACTCACTGATTTTACTTACTTACAATATTTATAATCCTCCCTTTGGTTGCTAAGTCTCATACGTGGATGATCATAAAAGAAAATGAACATCAATGAAATTCGGAAAGCATACGATTTCAGCCATGAGTGGAAAAATTCCCATGCTAAATTTTTCAGAGACATGAAGTAAACGCTTAGAAACAAATATAGTCCTTCCCTCCACTCATTTTGCTATGAAGGGAAAGTCCTCTGACAGAGAAGTTTTCTTTTCCTTGATCTCTCTGGCAACAATAGGACAGATGGGAGGTGATAGCTGAATGCAAATAAAGTTCACCACCTACACCATAAGACTTAGCTCTTTTCCTACTTCACAATTCTTCTGAAGAAACCTGGTTTGCTTTCAATCTAGTACACAAACAGAGATACAAGTTGTCTAGGTAAAAGAGTTGGCTTTCTTTTGTACTCTATAACAGTGATTATGTTAATCTTTTGCAGTAGAAGCAGTGGGTGACCTTGGGCGAGTCATTCTCTCTCAATACTAGGAAGGAGACAATGGCAGACCACTTATGAAAAATCTTGGCAAAAATACCTTCAGGGGCTTATTCTGGCAGTCACCAGCTGTCAACACTGACTCAAAGGCACATCTCTCCCCCCCCAAAAAAAAATCAGCATCCCCCCAAATTATACTTGGATACATAGTGCAAAGATCTAACTTTCTTGAGACATTTACAATGTTGGGAAAGGTAAAAAAGAAAGCGAAGAAGAGGATGATGGACTTGATTACAACAACAATGGGTGCCCCATTGGAAGATCTGAAAGGACAGGGCAATGTCAGATCAGAGAAGTTCTGCTTATGTGCTCCCTAACAAGCAAAACCAACTTGATGGCACACAATTAACTGAACATTAGAGATAAGAAAGACAAATGACTATGAAAAAGAAGCCAGCTTACTCTCCATCCCAACTAAATGAACCTTTGCTGCTACCAGTAGGATATGTAACAAGGACTCTCCTATGAACACATGATGTTCATAATGGCTTTAAGGTGACAGACAGTATTTCAGTTAGGGTCTGGACGAGAGTGGAAGTTGCTAAGTCTGTTCTAAAACAGTGACATATAATGGTTCTGATTATTGACCCTAACTTACTTTTTCAATTTGATAAATAAAAAAGGAATACAGAATACAAATTCAGCAGCAGAGAGAAGGAAAAGGCATCAGAGGACTCAGATATAGCTTTGTTGTGCAATCACTTGCCTCATTCAGGAATTTTATAAGGTTTTCATGTGACTGTTTTTCTTTTTCTTTTGAAACAGCTGTACATTTTTTGGCTTCCTCTATTTTTATCTTACTAGATAAACTCCATTAAGGAAGGAAACACAGAACAGTTGTGCAATACCTATTGATTGATCATGTTAAGAGCCCACTGTCTGGAAACGGGAGAGGATGCCAAGGGCAAGAATGATCATGGATAAAAAATAGGATCAGATGTAGATATGTGCCTTAAGCTTTGTTTTCTTCAGAGGTTTTTAATGAAATTGTTCAATACTATTCATCATCTGCCCAAGTACTATTTTTCAGGGCCTTTTTCCCTGTAATGATTACATTCATGACCTTTTTTTGGCAAGAAAAGTGCACTGGGTCTTGTCAGTTTTTTACAAGTCCTATTCTTTTTTTTTTTATGCAGTGTATAGAGAAAACTCATATTGCCACTGTGAAATGTCAGATTCTGAATAAGTGGGGTTTTTTAATGGGGATCTGGCTAAAAAAAATTGATGTTTGGTATCTATTTAGTACATTTTGCTTGCTAAAGTGAAGCAAGAGAGAGGGGGGGGGCATCTGTGCTCAACCTGAAGCACACTTTTGCAGGGGAAACTTCATGTTTTTGAGGAACTGCATGCTGCAGACCGCACCTCGATTTTATCTGGATGTTTGTTTCCTCTCTGTACATTTATGATATCCACAACATACAGCATTAATGTGAATTTTGACTCAATAATCCAATTACAACCACCTAGCTAAGTAACATCTTCCAAAAAGGCAATGGTATCAGAATTCCTATTGTTAGTTGTTTACCAATTTATCCATGCCATGTCTCACAAATTGGCAGTGAAGATATCAAAGTGGTGGTTTGGGTCTGCCTTTCAGGATCAACATCAACAGTAAAGGACCAAGCATAGTAGTCTCGCACTTGGTCGAACAATCATGAAAGCCTTGGAAAAGATGCCATGATGTGTTTATGCTGTACCTATAAAGATCACAACTGTGCAAGCCATGGTATTCTCTATAGTTATAGGTATCTCTCTATGGAAATGAAAGTTGGACTTTGAAGAAGCAGGATAGGAAACTTATTCATGTTGGAGACGTTTGTGAATATCACGGCCAACCACGAAGATAAATAGATGGATCATTGAATAAATCAATCTCAAATTCTGACTTGAAGCACAAATGACCAGGCTTAAATTACCTTAATTCGGACACATTATGTGAAGACCCAGCTCTCTGGAAAAAGGCTCTAATGCTGAGAAGGGTGGAAGGAAAGGGAAAAAGAGGATGACCAGCAGCAAAGTGGATGGGACCTAGTTACAATTGTAATTAGTGCACCGCTATGAAACTTGATAGAACAGATTAGGGCAGGGGTGAGCTACTATGGCAACATTACGACCTGTGAACTTCAACTCCCAGAATTCCTAATGAGCATGGATGTCTCAGGAATTGGGGAATTTAAGGCCACAGGTTA